TCCTATCTAGAATTTTTCAATCTCTCGAGTCACTTGTGCGAGAAGTACGAGTTCACGATAGCATAAAATGAATGCCCCGCGCGCATAAGTGTATTCTCGTGTAGATGGTGGTCGCTCGACCTCTCGTGACTCTATGGACTTACTTTTTTTAAGAAGGCACTCTATCTCGAATCTTTCAATTTCTCATTACTTTTCCTCCAACGAATATTTGTCATAATTGTCCGTCAATACAAATTTTTTATCGTTTTGAAAGAAAAAAATTGTATTTTTATTTTTTATTTAAATGTTTATTTTTTAAATTAAAAATCTGATTTTTATTCAAAAATTCATTTTTTTATTTAAAAAAATTCCGTTTTCTATTAAAATAAGGAAAAAATTCTCGAGACACTCTTCGATGATAAATTTCGATCCCCTCTAATTATCCGATTCCGTGTTTATAGACTCAAAATGTAGCGAGGGTGATTAAGATCCGAACTTTGAAAGCGCCGACCTTAATGTCAACTACGATAAAATCGAAGTATGTGCGTGTCGTCAAAATCGAAAAACCCTCGAAGTCATTGAATGACATTTATTACTGATTCGATTTTTCAACCCGAAATTTTTAGTCTGGTGCTCTAACTTAGGGGCCAAAATTGCATGTAATAAGTACACAATTTGTTATTAAAAAAGATATAAAAACAAATATATAAAAATTATAAACAATTGTTTATAATTTGGTTTACAACAATTGTTTCCTAAGGTCTAAGATCTAAAGGTGGTCCAACCTTGACTATGTTTCTCTAATGTTTATTTGACAAGAACCATATCGACTACATTATTATTATAAGCCACTGCCCTGCCATCTGTCGGTCTCTTAAACAATAGGCGCGAAATTCAAACGAAGCAATTTTGCAAAGCAATGTTTCTTTTTTAAAATCTCGCGCCAATTGTCCACTAAAAAATAATTTTTTTCTATGGATCAAATATTTAAATTAATTAATTATATTTGATACAATAAATAATAATTATGACTTATTTCTTCAAAAGGTGGACAAAATAAGTAAAATAAAAAAACACCTCAAATAGTAAAATTTCCTTAAAATGAAAAATAAGAATAAAATAAAATTCCTGCAACGAATTTTATTATTCATAAAAGAATTAAAATATTTATATTAAAACTAATTTAATTCTTGCCAAGAAGTTTGTAAAAAATTTTAAAAATAATTAATTTCTTTCGAATAATTTTATGGAAATTCTAATTTAAATAATTAAATTGATGAAAATTTTTATTATTCATGAAAAAAATTTAATTCTAACGAAAATTTTTACATACCGTTTTTAAAATAATTAAATTCTCTTTGGAAATTTTATGAAAATAGTAGATATTGAAAATCATTGAATATGGCGAAAAAATTTTAAAGATAATTAAATTTTACAAAGAATTCTATTAAAAAATTTGGCAATAATTGAATGTTTCTGGGAAAATTTTATTAAATTTGTTTTGAAAATAATTGAATTCTTGCGAACGATTTGTTTAAAAAAACATTTTTTTAAATAATTGATTTTTTCGAGGAATTGAAATTAAATTTTTAAGAATAATTACATTTTTTCGAGCGATTCCTGCTATGAATTTTATTATTCATGAAAATAATTGAATAGTTGCTAGGAATTTTATTATAATTCTCAAAAATAATTGAATTACAGAGAAGAATTTTATTATTTTTGAAAAGAATTGAATTCCTGCTTAGAATTTAATCAAAAATTTTTTTTTTGAAATTGAATTTTCATGAAAAATTTTATTATTAGTGAAAGTAATTGAATTATTGTGAAAAGGAAATTGCATAAAATTTTATTAAATAATTAATTTTTTCGAAATTTTTTTAAAAATTAGCGAATTAAAAGTAGTGGAAATTCACTAAAAAAAAATTATTTATATTCTTTGTTCAGAAAGTTGAATATATAAAAATTTCTTTACCTTCTCTATTCTTCAGAATAATTAAAATTTTCGTAATGAAGATTATTTTTAATTTAAATATCAGATAACAATTTTTGTGAAATTTAATTTTCCTCGTACAAGAAAGTTTAATTATTTTCAATTTTGAGATGTCAAATTTGAAATTAGTATCAAAATTTGTTAAAGTTTCTTTATATGTTTTAAAGTTTAAAAATATAATATACTTTGAAAATTTAATTCTAATTAGTTTTTCAGTTTTATATTTAATTAAAATATTAAAGATTTAAGCACTGGATTTTAAATATGAAATTTATTTTAAGTTTCAAAAAAAGAAAGTCGGCGGGAATCGAACTTGCGACCCAAGACACTGAAGACTTGTTCGCTATCCACTGGTCTACGCCACATGTTTAAATTGCACCTTTCATAAACTTTCAAGAAACTTTATAAATAATACCATTAAATATTACTTAAAATAAGTTAACAACTACTGAATAATTTATTTCGTGTAAATATACAAAAATTCTGGAATATTAACAGAATATTTGAATAAAAAAGTAGTCATCCTAAATCATCAAGCGGCACTCGAGGGTTTACTTTCTGCGAATGAATTGAGTGCCTTTCAGAGTAGTACACCGTCTAAAGATCTCGTTAGAGCTCCGTTCCATAATCTCTTAGTGAAAGTACATAAAAGAGCTTTTCAACTGAAGCGGTAATTGCTTAATTTCTGTCATTACGAACACCTTCCTCCGCACTCTCCACAGTAGTAGAAGATGAGAGTCGGACAATGAAATAAGTTTTGAAAACAAAGAGGGAGGGAGAAAAAAGAAACTTCCATATAAAGACACTATATTCAGTGATTTTTTTATTCCTCCTATATATACCTCTGCCTCTGGAGAAAGCAATTTTGCTATTCTATGTCGAATGGCATGAATCGAAATTCGAATTCGTCGCCTGGGTGTCGTTTGTGTGGAGCTTTGGGTTACTGGATACATCCATGTATCGTTGTCATTCTCTATCACTCTGGGATTTGCCTTGGGGACATTTTCGAATATCACATTTTCCCTACAAGAATTTCAAAATAAAAAAAAAAAAGAAGAGGCGGTAGTGAAACAAAAATTTTTTCGATTCGGAGTAAAAATAGAAATTGCGCAAATAGAGGGATTATTTTTGGGGAATGTTTCGAAATTATTTTTTTGATAGATTGCCAAAAATCCACAAGAATGGAAACTTTATCCACTTGAATAAAAATATTATCCAGAAAAAAAAGAAAAAAAATCTTTACTCAAGCTAAAAATTTACCAATATTAGCAAAATAAGTGGTTTCAATTAACACTTTCGCTAATCTAGAAAAACTTATGGAAGCTCCAGGTGAAATTTATTCTCAGTGTTTAAAAATTTTTCCAGAAAAAAAAATTGTATAACTTTTCTTAATTATAGAATAAGAAACTGAAGTTAAATCCCCAAGGGGAGGAAATAATTACAAAAATGAAGAGAAAAGAATGTATTCTATTTTTTTATTCTAGAACCAACTTTTTAATTCAAGTAAACCATGCAGTAAAATTGTTTCTCCTGGTTATATATATGTTTTCCATACATGAATTTATAAAAAAGGGGGAAAATTTTTTTATGTAACTTAATAATTGGTACATTTCAATATTGAGATTCCCTGTAATAAAAAAGGCCAATAATTCCGATATTGATTGTGTAACATATAAAAGCCTTTCAATAGATTTCCGAGCGCGTACGCACACTACTAAAACTTCTCTATTATATACCTCGTGTAATATATACATTAGGTATATATTTTATACATTATAGGGTTTTGCAGGATATTATATGTCTATATCGGGTTAATCTAAAGAGTTCGTATAGTTATAGCGTCAGAGTAAATTTAAGATATTTAGAAATATTTAATTAAAGTGAATTTTGCTAAATATTCGATATTACACGACATTTTTTATTTCCCTAGGGTCGCTATTACCCCGAGGTTGATATTTCTCTAGGGTTGTTTATTACCCTATGATTGCTATTACCCCGAGGTTGCTATCACCCCAAGAATAATACCCTAATGTTTCTATTACCCCAATGTTGCCTTGCAAGGTTTCTTCAATATTTCTGGTCGATATTACCCCAACAAAGCCTTACACTATTGCTTACACCACCGAAAAATGGGTCAATATTGCACTGAAGTTAGGGGTAAATGTTGCTCGACAATATTTGAGTAAATTAAAGCAAATATTGAGGAAATATTGTCGAGCAACATTTACCCCTAACTTCAGTGCAATATTGCCCCAAGTTTGCATAAACGCTGATAGAATATTGGAACTCTTTGGTTTTAACATAGTCCAATATTTTCAAATTTTAAAGAAAAATATTCTGGCAGTAAGTTGCACTTTTGGGAAATAACGAGCGCAACGCCATCTAACTTTTAACTTTTACAGAACTTGTGGTTTTTTTTCATTCAAGTTTTCTCCATTTGTCGAGCATGGATGAGTAAATATTCTCCAGTCCCTAGTGGCCAAAACACTGAATTCAGATTACTTTTCTCCTCACCCGCTATAAACAAGCCAGAAACTACTCTAAAATCATAAATAATTCTAAAAAGTTCCTAAAAAAGCGGTTTTTGAAAAATTTTTGTATTTTCTTTTTGTTTTGGTGCAAAAAGTAGAATTTTTGTACTAAACCTTCTTTATTTCCTACACTGCTTTTTTACCAGTGACAATATTTTACAGAAAAAAATTTTCGTTTCATATTTTTTTAAGAAATGGAAGCGTTTTAATAAAAAGCAGTTCATTTTTGTAAAAAAGAAATATTTTTTTTAAAAGAAACAATCTTAAAAAAACAAAATGAAAATAAAAAACAGTGCTTTTTTGAAAAGAAACACTCTTAAAAAATACAAAAAGAAAATGAAAACAAAAAGCAAAGAAGATAAAAATAATAAAAAATATCTATAAACGTAAAACATGCAAAAAGAAAGAAAAAAAAAAGTAAAAAAGCAAAAAAGCTAGAAAAAAAGAATTAAAAAAGCAATAAAAGTATTAAAAGAGATAAAAAAAAGACTGTTTACCAAAAGATCAAGGTGAGAAGTGACACACGCTATCCGTGAAAGAGAGAGAAAGAGAGCCGGCTTGCGTGGTTACACACCACCGATGCACAAAAAAAAACACCCACGATACACCGAAGTTGGGATAGGTCACGTCAATGTTGGATTATGAGGTCGTGATCTATCTCCGGATAGAGTGTGACTGCCATATCGGGGGGGCAAGAGGGTGGTTCAGGGGAATACCTATATATATAGATATTGAACGTTATGACAAGAACACGAGAAGATGACCAAAAAAAAAAAAAATCTCTCGACGTATAACCGCACGTTATATCGTTTATATAAAAGCCGCACACGCTTTTTACCGGCAAAGCGCGTGGAGCTTTTCCGTGATAAATACACACGCGCACACTCCGATTTCTCTGAAACAAAATTTTCAATAATACAACAAGGGTTGAACTCACCCGATGCGCGGTTCAAGTGAAACTGAGGACTCGAGGAGGAAATCCCCCTCTTTACCCAAAGCAACTCCAATGACGACGGACCAAAAGGCACACTGTCCCTGCGCAACCACCCTGACACCCCTATGTATATATATATGTATATACATATAACCGATTGACCACATGCTATCCACTTCGTCTCATGTTGACTAAACATCGATTGTTTTTCTCTGTCATTTGTTACTTTTTTTTCTTCTTTATTGCTTTTTTAATAAACAAAAAAGAAATTTCGAATAGCGAGTTTATCGAGAATAAAAGATTTTTAGTTATGGTATATTAAAAACACTATTATTATTATTTTTTATTGCTTCTTATAATTCTTTTGAAACTTAAAGCGCACCCTGGGTGTTGGACACCCATACACAACAGTGGCATTCTGATATCTGGGACTTTGCGAAAAATCTGTAAGCATTCGTATTTTACAGTTTGGAAAAATCTCTTTTAGTACACAAAAAAAGAAAGATTAATTTTTGAAACACACCCTGGGTGTTTGACACCCATACGCAACATTTGCACTCTATTATCTGGGACTTTGCGATTTTTATTTGTAAGCATTAGTACATAATAGTTTGGAAAAAGCTCGTTTTGGTTCACGACAAAAAATAGATTAATCATTAAAACCAGGGTTTACCAGGGTTGTCACAGGTCCGGAAAGTCAAGTAATTCAGGGAAAAGTCAGGGAAATTAGAATTGGGCAGGAAAATCAGGAAAAAATCAAGGATTTTTATTAAAAGTACTGAAAAAATTAAATTTTTAGAATTTATAAAAAAATTCTGATTTTTGGAGTCTTTTTTGTTTGCCTCATAAACTATGAAATTGACAAGAATTATAATACAAAACCTTCAATTTTTCTATTTCTATGACAATAATTTCTTTTTAAATAACTTAATTAAATATTAAATGACTTTATTCTTGAAGAACTATCATAACATTATTATTTATAAATTATGTAATGAATAATATTACTTAAAAATTTCAAAATTAATTGGATTTCAAAAGAGTTGCGTTTACAATCTTCATAAGTAAATGAACTACAAAAGTTTCAATTTGAAATTTTAAGAACAACTGATTCCGGAAATTTAATTACTTTCAAAAGTGATAAACTTCTTCGCATAAATTCAATTATGTTCAAAAATTTAAAAAAATTCTCGACAAAATTTCAATTATCTTTATAAATAATAAAATTCTTCTTGAAAATTCAATTATTTTCAAAAAATTTAATAAAATTCTTGACAAAATTTCAATTATTTTCAAAAAATTTTCTCATTTCGATTATTTTTAATATAATTTTCCAAAAGAATTCAATTATTTAAAAAAAATTTTAATAAAAACTTCACAGGAATTCAATTACTTACCAATTTTTTATAAATTTCTTCGAACCAATTCAATTATTTTTAATTTTTTAATGAAGTTTCACGAAAGAATTCAAATATAATCAGAGAATTGAAAAAAATAGTTCTGAGAAATTTAATTATTTCGAAAAATTTAAATAAATTTCTTTTAAAAACTCTATTATTTAAAACAATTTTGACAAAATTCTTTACAAGATTTAGTTAATAAAATTTTCCTATACAATTCAATTATTTTTAATACAATTCTTTTTAAGAATTCAATTATTTAAAAAAATTGGAATAAAGTTCTTCGCATGAAATCAATTTTTTTTCATAAATAATATAATTTTTCTCGAGAATTCAATTATTTTAAGAAATTTTGATAAAATGATTTACATGAATTTGAAAAATTATAATAAAATTGATTATAGAATACAATTATTTTCGTCAAATATAACATTCTTCCTAGGAATACAATTATTGTCAAAAATGTTTGTAAAAATCTTCGAAACAAATTCAATTATTTTCGTAAAAAATAAAATTCTTCGAAGCAAATCAATTATTTAAGAAATTTTAATAAAATTCTTCCCAGGAATTTAATTCTTTTAAAAAATAAATATTTTCAAAGGAATTCAATAATTGAAAATTTTTTTTTTAATTCTTCGTCAGATTTCAATTATTTTTAATTTTTTAATGAAATTTCTCTAACTAGAAATTAATTATTTTCCTAAATAATAATATTTTTCTCCAGAATTCAATTATTTTCAGAAATAAATTTTTTCATAGGAATTCAATTCTTTAAAAAAATTTTTAATAAAATTTGTTGCAAGAATTCAATTATTTTCTCATCTTAAATTTATTAGGTATAAGTTATTGAATTTCAAAATGTTTGAATTTGAAAATCTTAATTCCTATAGAAAAATAATAATGATTAAATATTTATTTAAAAAAGAAGTTATTAATGTTTTCGAAGTGTACGCTTTAAGGGTTAAAATTTTAATTATATAAGATTGAATTTAATAAATATATATAATTTTCAAATTTTTATAATTCAAAAAGGCGGATATTGTTTAAGATAGTTATGAAAAACAACTTAAAAATTTATTTACTCTATATCCGTTAATTACATTTTAAAAGATTTCTTTAAAATCTTTTTTAATTATTCAAAGAAAATTCTTAAAAATATTTAATTATTTAATTTTTATCGTGTTAAAGAATATAATTTTTAAAATTGCTATCACCATTGTTAATTATTATTCTTGTCAGCTAATGGAATACCGCGAGTGTTGATGATAATTTTCATTAAAGTGCAAATCAAAAGTTGACATGAGTCATTTCATAATTATGTGCAACTTAAATGGTATGTGAGTAAAACTTTACGTCTTCAGGGCTTCCTCTGAAAGTTTAAGTTTCACGAAGCATCATAATTAAACTATATATAGATATAAACTTTATTATATATAATAAACTATATATACATATACAATATATATATATATATATATATATATATATATATATATATATATATATATTTTTTTATTTATAAAACGCGTTTAATAACAATAATAAGTATAAATAAAAAAATAAATGTAAAATTTGATAACTTTCCTGTCAAAATTGTATTGTTAGAGTAAAACTCCTTGATTTACATGGATATCATAAATAATCCAATCTGTCAATCATTCGTTTAACCCTATAACTTATCTCCTTTTAGTTCCGGCGATAGTCGCTTCAATGTCAGGTGGATCAATTTGACGATAACGATTATTTGAGTACACAGAGGGTTAAAAAAAGCTCAGTACAAGAATCGATAGCAAAAAATAAAATTCCAATTATATTTTAAAAATGGTTTTTTCGTTAACCTGGTTGTAAATATATTATTCATTTATTAAAATTGTGATTATTATTATTGTGATTACAATGATTATTATTGTAATTATACTACACACGAAAGGGCTAACCAGAATATTTTTTTTAAAAATAAATTAATAATAAGTAAATAAAATGAAGAAATAAATTATTTATTAAAATACTTATTTTAAAGTTGAATAACTTATAAAAAAAAATATAAATTGATACTAAACGTAAAACTAGGCCAATCTTCTCTGGTTTAATTTACAATCAATAAAAAAGAAGAAAAATTTAAAAATTGCTTTTTCAAAAATAAGAGGGAAAAAATATTTTTCAACCAGAAGATAAAAAAAAGCAACATCAAAGTATGCATATGTTACAATTTGCAAAAAAAAATTGTTACTTACTTTTTTTAATCAAAGAAAAAGTTTATTTTGAAATTTTTTTTTCTAAACTCTCTCGGGAATCACTGCTGCTAATAAAATCCATAAAGAAAGAAAATCCTTTTGTAAACCAGCGTAATTTTCTATTATTAACGATATCACTATCAACGATGAAAATTTCTTTTTCAAGAGGATTTTCTCTTCAATGAGATGAAGCAGCTTAGAACCCCTTGAATGAAAGAGAATATATTGCAAGGATAATTAAGTTCTTCATTATGCAAACAGAAACTCAAAAAAAATGTACATTTTTATTTCATTACAAAATAGTTCACTTTCAAAGAATATTAAAAATAATTCGAAAAGTTTTATTTTCACTCTGTGGAGATTGCAAAAATATTTTCATGATTAAGTATCACTCTATTTATATTATATTGAAAAATTGTATTTAAAAAAAAATGTAAAAATCCACGAAATTCTAGAAGAAATTTATTTTAAAATAGAGATTTTTTGTAAAACTTTATTTTTATATAAAGAGAAAAAATAAAATAAACGAGAGAGATACTTTAACGTTGAAAGCAAAACTGTGTATATAATGTTAAATTGAATCATAAAATCGTCATTGAAGCTATTTTTTGAAATTCACACTTTTCGTTCTAAAAAAAAAAAAAAAATTTTAATTTACGAGTTGAGAGAAATAAAAAAAAAACAACTCATCGCTATTGTTATTAATAAAACCATCTGTTTTCGAAAAAAAAAATATAAAAAAATTAATATTTGTTACGAGAAAAATTTTTTTAAACTCTATATATTTAAAAAAAAGTGATACCGTTCACAAATAAAGCAATTCAAAAATATAAAGTTACACAAACGGGAATTTATCCTACAAAATAAAATATTAAATAACATTGTTTAGTTTTCATATTTTTTATTTAGATTTTTTATTTTTTTTTATTTTTTCCATTTTTTTACTTTTTTTTTCATTTAAAAAAAAATTTTTTTTTTACTTTTTTTTTAATATTTGAAAAAATGAAGAAATTTATCTTCTTGCACTATATATAAAGTTAAACATAAACTTAGATAACTTTTTTTCAGGGTCGATTTCAGTAAATCTAATATCGTTTTTCTTCACGTCTCAACGTGTATGGGAAAAGAATGGAGAGCTCGTTGAAAACTGGGCGACGGAGACTCGGGGGATTTATGTCGTGCAGAACAACCATCAGCCTTCTCGCGTATTGTGTGCACGCGTTGTACGATATTCTGCTTTAATAAGAGAATCAGAGCAGCGCAGTGAACACGTCTGTGGTTTCAAAAAAAAAAAAAAAAAAAAAAAAAAAAAAAAAAAAAAAAAAGTATTCACAGAAATTCATGAGTTACGATGCTCAACGTGTATCAACATCTCAATATTCTTTTATAATTTTAATTTCAACTTTCTACAGAATAATAATGAGATACATATCAAATTATATATATAATTTAAAGAAAACAATTTTCAAAGTTTTTTTATTTCTTGGGAGTTTTTAATTTAAAAGAATGTTATAAAGTTAACT